ATGCCATCAGGTAAAAATGAAAAACAATGCAGTTGTGGCACAATGTTTAAAAATATCTATACATCTTCCCTCGTAGGACTGCAGTGTTTCCTATGTACCTGAGCATGGAATACGGAGCGCCCTTATAAGCTGCTCCACATGGGGAATCTGATTCCTTGCAGGTCAACCTACTTTTCCTCATGTACTAATGAAATCGGCTTCAGCCTCAACTTTGTAGGATTAACAGAACACAAAGATGGAAAATCAAGAATCCAATTTCTACTTTCCTGTAATATGGTTATACCAAGTCCAGTCTTCACTGTATAAAAAATACATAGGAAAGTGCTGTATACATTCTTCACATGGAAAAAACAAAGTTAAAGCAGAGCTGACCTATGTCAGACCTATATTTTAGTTCTGTGGTGACCACTGTGCCTCATGCTATGCATTTAAAAAAAAACTAAGACTGGGGCGCCTGGGTGGCGCAGTCGGTTAAGCGTCCGACTTCAGCCAGGTCACGATCTCGCGGTCCGTGAGTTCGAGTCCCGCGTCAGGCTCTGGGCTGATGGCTCAGAGCCTGGAGCCTGTTTCCGATTCTGTGTCTCCCTCTCTCTCTGCCCCTTCCCCGTTCATGCTCTGTCTCTCTCTGTCCCAAAAATAAATAAACGTTGAAAAAAAAAAATTAAAAAAAAAAAAAAGATAAAAAAAAACTAAGACTTCGTTTTTTAGAGCAGATTAAGCTTACAACAAAATTGAGAGGAGATACAGAGATTTCCCATTTCCTCCCACACCCACACATGCACAGCCTCCCCTGTGACCAACATCACTCACCAGAGTGATATGTGTGTGTGTGTGTGTGTGTGTGTGTGTATATATAAACAAATGATGAACACATTATTATCACCCAAAGTCCATAGTTTGCCTTAGGGTTTACTCTTGATGTTGTACATTCTATGGGTTTAGACAAATGTATAATGGCATACATGTATCATTATAACATCATATAGAGTATTGTCACTGCCCCAGAAATCCTCTGTGCTCTTCCTATTTATCTGTCCTCCCCCGCCTATCCCTAGTAACCACTGATCTTTTTACTGTCTCCATTGTATAACAGAAGGTCATATAGTTAGAATCATACACCCTGTAGCCTTTTCAGATTGGCTTCTTTCACTTAGAAATATACATCTGAGTTTCTTCCATGGCTTTTCATGATTTTTGAGTGCTGAATAATAGTCCATTGTCTAAGCGTACCACAGTTTATTTATCCGTTCACCCATGGAAGGGCATCCTGATCGCTTCCAATTTTTGGCAATTGTGAATAAAGCTGCTATAAATTACTTTCCGCAGATTTTTTTGTACAATGTAAGTTTTCAGCTCCCTTGCATAAGTATCAAGTCCTCTGATTGCTGAATCATGTGGGGAGTATGTTTAATTTGTAAGAAACTGCCAAGCTGTCTTTCAGAGTGTCTGCACCACTTTGCACTCCCACCAGCAATGGATGGGAGGTCCCCGTTGCTCCACATCCTCGTCAGCATTAGGTGATGTCAGTGTTCTGGATTTTGGCCATTCTAAAAGGTATGTAGGGGTGTTGCTTTAATTTGCATTTCCCTGATGACATCTTCCCATATGCTTATTTGCCATTTTGCCATCTGTATATCTTCTTTGATGAGGTATCCGTTAAGGTCTGTGGCTCATTTTTTAATCAGCTGTTTTCTTACTGTTGAATTTTTAGAGAGTTCTTCATATATTTTGGATAACAGTCCTTTATCAGATATGTCTTTTTCAAATATTTTCTTCCAGTCTGTGACCTGTCTTCTCATCCTCTTGACACTGTTTTTCCCAAAGAAGCTGTTTATCTTAATGAAGTCCAGCCTATCAATCATTTCTTTCATGGACCATGTCTTTGGTGTCATATCTAAAAAGTCATTGCCACACCCAAGCTCATCTAGGTTTTCTCCTATATTACCTTCTAGGAGTTTCACATTTTATATTTGTATTTATATTGAGTTTAATTTTTGTGAGGGCTGTAAGTTCTGTGTCTGGATTCACTTTTTGCATGTGGATGTCTGGTTGTTCCAGCACCATTTGTTCAAGAGACTATCTTCGCTCCATTGCATTGTCTTTATCAAATATCAGTTAACTATATTTATGGGGGTCTGCTTGTGGGCTCTCTATCCTGTTTCATTGGTTTATTTGTTTATTCTTTTACCAATACCACATAGTCTTAATTGCTATAGGTTTATAGTACATCTTAAAGTTGGTAGCATCAGTCCTCCAGCTGTGTTCTTCTCCTTCAAAATTGTGTCAGCTATTCTGGGTCTTTTGCCTCTCCATATAAACTTTAGAATCAGTTTGTCAATATGCATAAAGTAACTTGCCGGGAAATTGGCTGGGATTGCACTGAATCTATAAATCAAGTTGGGAAGAACTGACATTTTGACAATATTTGGTCTTTCTATCCATGAACATAGAATAACTCTCCCTTAAGTTCATCTTTGAACTTTCATGCTTCAGAGTTTTGTAGATCTTATACATATTTTGATAGATTTATATCTAAATATTTCATTGTGTTGGGTGCTTCATCTAGGGATGAATCCTTCTTTGGCTTCTCCAGCTTCTGGTGGCTATTGGCATTCTTTGGTTTCTTTGGCTTGTGGAGACTCTAGTCTCTGCTTCCATCTTCACATTGCATTCTCTGTGTGTCTCTTCTAAAAACACATTTCATTGGATTTTGGACCCACCCAGGTAATTCAGGATGATCTTATCTCAAATCCCTTAATTAAATCTGCAAAGACCCTCTTCCTAAATAAGTTCATATTCACAGGTTCCAGAGGTTTGGATGTGGACATGTGTTTTTGTTTTTTGTTTTTTGTTTTTTGTTTTTTTTGAGGAGGGTGGGCAGAGGGACACCATTCAACCTGCTATAGTAATCTTGAAATTATTTCCAATTCTGAAGCTGGGGACCACAGTCGCTCTGAGAATTTTGAGAAACAGTGATTTTCATCCGCGGTTTCTACTCTTTTCCTGGTCGGTCACAGGGTGTCCTGTCAAAAGCCCAGTAGCATAGTATGGTGGCAAACCATGGCAGATAGGTGCTTCAAGTCAAACTGGACTTAGCTTTGGGTGAAAGACACAAAGCAGCAAGTATGTCATTGTGGAGAAACTTCTCTATTGATTTACTTTAAAATATTCAGAATTTAGGTTTAACTCCAGGAATGGTTTCAACTTGGAACATGAGGAGTAAGGCTATGGAAACTCTAGGTACCAAAGTCAGACCTGTAGGTGGCAGCAGGGAGGCGTGGGGACCTCTACCAATCCTGCTAATGATGTTACTGAGGAACCTAACAGAAAATCCCTAGCAGTCAAATATTTGAGTGGTTAAAAGGGATGCTTTCCTTTGCAAAGAGAACATTATGTGTTTTGATTAGTAGGAGAGAGCTCCCATTTTAGGGACAGCATGACATGTGGAGCCTGAGAACCAGCAGACCTGAGTTCCTGCCAAGTATCTACATAATGCACCACAAACACCATCCCTTCGCCCTTATCCGTGAAGGGCATCTCAGGGTTTCCAAGGTCAAATCCAACTTTGAGATTCCATGGATCATCAGAGGAGAATCACTGTTCATGCTGCTGATTCTGTGTCTGTCTTCCTTTCTCAGAGAAAAAAAGAAAGACTCAATGCATCCATAGCAGAAAACAGGCACCAGATGAAAACTCTTAGTTAAATAAGCCAACGGCCGCATCGAAAGACACTAGACAGAACATAAAACAAAAACAGGGAGAAGGTATCTTTTTGTGATTTTGCTTGGCTTCCTCACGGCAGCGGGGTAGGAGACTATTATCTCCCATCTAGCTGTCTTTATAGTTAAGAAATGGCTCCCAGACCACCACATCTCCCTCAGTGCTTCGAAAACCAGAAGTTACAAGACCTAAGCTACAAGGTTAAAAATCAAAAGGTGCTTTGTGAGTTCAGGAGACTTCCCTGAGAGGTCCAACCACAGCTGGACTGGGAAAAATACTAGCTTTGGGTCTAGTCAGTGGACAAAAGCGGACCCAATGCTTAAACTCAAAGTAAGTTCCTTGTTGGAAAACATGAAATTGGCAGGGATTATTTGGAGGGAAAAGAGCAGGATTTACAGACACATATTTAAACTTACAAGTAAAAAAATATATATATTTATCTATTACATATCTATATTTTATTAATACATTAAATATATTAAGTATTTAAAATATTAAATATTTTAATATGGTAAATATGTTTGATAAAATATTTTACTATATCAATATAATTATGGATTCATATAGCAAATAACATTTATTACATATTAACATATCTGTTTAAATCTAGAGCTCAAGAAAGCCCACAGATGTTTTTTAACATATAACTTGCAATGATCTGGGAATTCTAGTCCAGGGTCAGCTAAGGGAGACACTGTTTATACAGTGAGCCTAGTGAGAAATAGACTTGCTTGCAATAAATTGTATTTCCTTAAATTACGTTCTATGATGAATTTTTTACTTAAGGTAATTAGACCTTAGGAACTATTAGGCTTTGTTGTTCGATAGAGTGCTATGTTTTTATTGAAAAGTCACTACTGAGTGGCAACATAAGCCTTCAGACTCAGAAGGTTAGGTCATAGATGGGTGGCCCCCTAACTTTTCACCTGTCCAGTTCCCAGGAAGGCATAAACAGCTCTCTCTGCTCAGGTTAGTTCTGCGCACTTAGACCTGAACGGGCAACACAAAGAACAAGGGACACATTAACTCTAAGTTCAGTGGCCAGAGTACCTGGGTTTGTATCCCAGCACTGCCGCGCATCGGTTGGAGACCTTGGGCAAATTACTTCACCTCTCTGTTCATTCCATCACCTGTGAAATGGGTCATTTATAGATGGTGCCTAGTTGGTAAGGTTGTTGTGAAGATTAAATCAGCTATCTAATTTCTATGCATTCACTGTTATTGTTATAATTATCACTACTACTATTGTTTGACACAAAGCAAGGATGACTCTTTTTTTAGAAATAGAAAGAAGATGTTTATTTGTCTCCTATCCACTCAAAACATACCATCCATAGCATTACTGAGATAGTAAGGCAGCACCAAGCACTACACAGCATTTGACAGTGAAAATATGCATGCTTTTTATTTCTGCTGTTTAGGAATGTATGATGCGCAGTCAGAAAGGGGTAGCACCGTGTGGGATAAAAGGTCCAGGTAAATGGCATTTCTTTCTGGTGTGGGCAAGGCCACTTCTTCATTTGGCAGCGTGCTTCTGATAGATCTCCAGGAACTCCTTCACGTCTTCAGGCGACCCCAAGATGATTGGCGCCCTCTGGTGGATCTCAGTGGGAATAATGTCCAGTACAGCTTCTTTGCCAGTGGTAGCCAATCCTCCAGCCTTCTCCATGACGTAGGCCATTGGGTTACATTCGTATAGCAGTCTCAACTGAAAAAAAAGAGCCAAGAGCAGCGCCCTCACACCAGAAAATATTACATAGAAAAGGGATTCGTTCTATACCAAACTAATACAGAGCTAGTGGGAGTTTCCAAGGTAACATGTAACTCTCCCTTTCCTTCTATGAGGTTGTTATAGCCCCCACCCCTAAGGCTGCCTCTAAGACCAAATGGTTAACTTAACCATTTGGTTAAATTAAGCCATTCATCAAGCCAGAGCCAGAGCCAGCAATAGATGGCCTGATGCAAATGGAGACAGACCACCTGGACTCAGGACTGAATGACATTTTGGCAGAACTGATGGTTCCCTTCTCTTTATAGCACGGAAACTGGACCTAATGAGTGACTCGGTGTGTGTTTTGGATGGAGCTTTGCCTATTCTAAAAGCATTAAACATCCATGGTAGTGTCTGGCTGCAGACATCTGGAAAGCAGACTGGCTCCTCCAAACAGTATGATATTGTTTGCAACGCTGTGCACGTTCCTTTTACAATTCTCCAAAGGCTTCAGGGTTGGGATTTAGTATGTTATACATCTTGGCATTTACTTTTAAATATTAACATTTTTATTGTGTTCATTTTCATGCAGTCTGCCTATTGAGCAGACAGCTTTTTGCAGGTGTTTCCTGACTCTATTTCCATACAGGTGTCATGGCCAGAGTTGCAAAATTGAGGAGGAAAAAAGGAGGCACCTCAATATCTGTGTTCAGAAACAATTTTTTGAGGCATTAAAGAAAAGTGCTATGGAGCAGGCTAATCACACAGGCTGAGATGCCTGACGTGGCTGTGGCAAGGGCGCTGTTTTAAGCAAATAAGAATGCCTTCAGCAAACTGGACACCACCAGCTGTAAACAGAGATCTGAACATATCTGGAACATATACACTTCTAACTATCTTAAGGGGATTATTGTTCCCATTCCTTCTCTTGCATTAAAAAAAAAAAAAAAAGACAGTCTGTCTATCGGGGAAAACAAAGGGACAATACTTGGGAAGGAAACACACTGTCACTGTGTAGAAGAAAAGCGGGGCATCCCTCAGCCAGTGTTAAGCAAGCACAGCTCACCCCATGGCTTTGGGACTCTGCGGGCATTAGACCAGTGCAGTCAGTGGTAACAGCTTCCCTGAAATCTCTAGGTTTCCCCAGAGAGTCTTTCTTTCCCTAGGAAGGTTTCATTTTCCAAGCAGCCAATGTCAGCTCATTAGTTATTTCTATTTTATGCCTCTTGAAAGCAATCAAAGGAAACCTTTACTTGGATACATATTCGATTTTTCTGCCTTGGCAATGAAGCTGAACTGTTTCATTTCACATTATGAATGGCATTCATTTTTCCCAGGCCAAACCACGCACCCACTGGAAGCACCCGTCCTCACCATAACACTATTACTTATCTTTAGCAATGGAAGGGCTCTCGAGAGACCATTTTGAGCTGATATCACCTGGCTTTAATGAGGACAACCTCTAATCTAGGAAAGAAGATGCCACACATATCCTCAGCATCCTACTGTGGGGCACAATGGCAATATAATAGCTACTGTCATCTTTCTTTCTTCCGAAGTCAAATTCCCTGGGCTGCAAAGGAACTCCACTGCCTCTCAATCACCTTTCAGGGGATTTGTTTACCTTTCCATTAGGGCTCTTCTTGTTAGCTGGGTACAGAAAGATCCCTCCATAGACCAGGGTGCGGTGGACATCAGCCACCATGGAGCCCACGTACCTGGCGCCATAGGGCGCTGTGTTGTCCTGCAAGGTTAAGATTAACAATAATTAGGGTTGCCGCAAAGAAAATGAGTTCTGTGTCCTCTATGCTCATCTGATTCAACAGTCATTTAATGAACACCTACGAGGCGCTTATTTGGGGCTGTGATAGGCAATGTGAGGAATATCCTGTTCCCAAGGAGCAGAAACAAATAGCCCCATTCTTACACATCTCACAATAGGTCAAACTACCTGCAGAAGCCCCAACCGGGGATGGGTTGATTCTGGTTATGGGGTTGGGACGGCCATCACAAAATCATACGTTTTAACGGGACATTGCAGGCTGAGAAGGATTTTGCCAAGCTAAGGAGCTGGGCAAGGGGGGAAGGGAACCACCCAAGCAAATATGGCAACACAGAGAAGGCAAATGCAAATGCTGTCCACCAGGGGCCTGGGGAGGACCCTGGTGCAGTGTGTGTGTGCAGGCTTCAGGGGTGGGAGGGGAATCCAGGGTAAGGTGGAAAGAGAGATAGTAAAGCTGGAAAGAGAGCCTGGGGCCAGCTCTAAGGCCCTGAATGCCAAACAGTATCTGGGCTTCCTCCTCAGTGGCATTTAAGTAGGAGTATGACAAAACTGGATATTCCTGCATAGAACCAGCTCTATAAACAGCCATTCCTTCTCTTTGTATTTGGTAATTTGTAACCTCTTCAGAAAGATGCCAAGATGGACACTCTTAATCTTGAGATGGTGGATAGAAATCCATCGGACACCACAAGGTGGGCACCTGGGTACGAGAACCACATTCTGTGCCATCTGAGATCAGGGACTACAGAAGTGAAATGTTTTACTGCCATGAACGAACTCATTCATCCGGCGACTTTATTATCCTAATTTTCTTCTGCCAAGAGAAAGTAGCAAAGGCTGACACGGACCCTCGGACTTTGACTTCTGAGGGCAGGGGTTCCAGTGCCCAGGACTAGGTGGGAATTTCATCATGGGGTCAGTGCACAGTGGAATCCAAGGCCCTGTGATCCCTGCCACCTTTAGCCTCCAGGCTAAATCATGAACCAACAGATCTGTGCATAACTCACGGGCCCTTGCCCAGAGCCCTCACTTACCGGGGGGAACTTCTTCCTCTGGACATACTCAGTGACAGCAGGGTCGAATTCCTTGGCATAGCCCTCATTGAGGCTGAAGATATTTCCTTTCTTTTTGATTTTCACGTCCCTGTCCACCAAAATGAACTCTCCAATGGCCTGGAAACAGGAAGGAGAGGGAGAGGTGATGAGCTGCCTCCTCCAGGGGCCTGTGTGAGGGCTGGGCTGGGCTGGGCTGGGCTGAGTTGGACTGAGCTGGGCTGGGGGTCCTGAGGCTGGGGGGCACAGGATGCTTCTCCTGGAGCTGGGACACTATGTCCCCAGCCTGCCACTTCAGTAATGGCGAACAGGACAAGGGAAGAGTCAGTGGACAAAAAGGAAAGAAGAGAAGAGGCTGCCGCAGATGTTGTTAGGGGATCGAAATTTTGGGGTTTGCTTTCAAATGGTTTCAGTAAAACAAGAGAGAAACCATACAAAAACAGGGAGGGCAGAAATAGGTAAAACAGCAGCAAAGCCTGAGGGAGATTGAGAATTGTGTGTCCACTCATACGTGGAATTTAAGAAACAAAACAAATGAGCAAAGGAAAAAAGAAGAGAGAGAGAAAGACAAACCAAGAACCAAACTCTTAACTACAAAGAACAAACCGATGGTTACCAGAGGGGAGGTCAGTGAGGAGATGGGGTCTGCAAAGTGTTTCTCAGAACTCAGTCCTGCCACCAAGTCCCAGTGCTGAGTTGATGCCTTTAGGGCTGAGGTACTTTAGAGGAGATGGCAATCTGGAAGGAAAGTGTCACCTAACTCCCACTGCTCTGGACTGAGGGTTGTTTGGGGCTCCTACATGCCCTGAGAAGAGGGCGCTTGAAGACCTGTCCTGTGGGGAGGGGGCTGTTCCATGGAGGTGAGAGGGAAGAAAGGAGGTATCAATACACCTGTCTCCAGCCGTTTACCTCCCCCCCAGCAGAGAGTGGTTCCTGCAGACAGGGAGTGTGTCTGACCTAGAAAGAGAGGAATAGAAGGAGGGAGGGAAGGCAGAATGGAAGGAGAACAGGAAGGATGAGGAAAAGGAGAAAAAGAGACTGGAATTAACAGTGGTCATTGGAAGGCTTCATTGTGAGTGATTCTTCTTTTTTCCTTTTATGCTTTTTTTCCCCAAAAATTCTGACCACAGTTACGTAGAAACGTTCTTTTATAATCAGAAAACTAAATAAATAAATAACTATATTTAGAAAAGAATTCTTGAGGGGCGCCTGAGTGACTCAGTCAGTGAGTGACTGGCTCTTGATCTCAACTCAGGTCAGGATCTCATGTTCATGGGATTGAGCCCCGAGTTGGGCTCTGCATGGAGAGCATAGAGCCTATTTAGGATTCTTTCCCCCTCTCTCTCTGCCCTTCCCCCTCCCTCCCTCTCTCTCTCTCTCTCAAAATAAATAAACATTTTTTTTAAAAGCATTTTAAAAAAGAAAGAAAAAAAGTCTTGAAAACAAATCCATCACACAACAGGTGCCGAGAGCTCATGAAGCCATGCTTCCAGATGCCCTGCCCTGGTACCTGGCCAGAGCATGCGAGACATGAAGGAGCAAAGTCTCTTGCAAGTGCAGACAAGAGACTAAAAAGCCTTCTGAAAGTTAAAGCCTGCTGGAAACGCAGAGAGAGCTGTCTCAGTATTTTTAGCAGAAACCATCAGCCAAAATGAAAAGAAAGCGCTAAGGGGGTCCGAGGTTCGCCCCGCAGGCACCAGAGAGCAGTGGGTTAATGAGATGGTGTCCCCAGCAGGGGACCATTACAGCAGGCATGCACCATTCTTCCAGACACCGAGGGGCCATTAGGTCTCAGGATGGCAAAAGACTATCAAATACACAGAAACTTACTCCCAGAGACACCGGTCTACGATCTGGAAACAAGAAAAGATTTCATTTTTCTACACGTCCACCAACTCAAAGGTAACAGAGAAGTCACCAGAAGAATGTCTGGGGGAAGCAGTACATCTCTGGCAAAACAGTAAATCTGCAAACATCAGTGATTCCAGAAACTGTCCACTGGGCTCCGGGTGAACTTTGCTCTGGTTCTGCCACTATTTTCCCCTGAGGTCACCTCATTTGGAGGCTTAATCTGGTATTGTTCCCTTAGCCTTGTTTATCTATTAAGCACCGGTTCTTCCAAGGAGGCAAAGTCCAGTTGTGCAAGATTGTAGGGGGCCAAGGCAGCCTACGTTCTCATTTATACCATCTGCCATGCACAGAGTCCAGGGCCTCACCAGGAACAAACTGTCTCCCGCCAGGTGCCAGCCAGGCATCTATACCTTGTGTTCAGTGCGTCAACAAAAATACCAAATAGATGAAGTTTCGTTACTGTCATAGGAGGACTCATCGAAAACTAAAAGGTATTTATAAGCCCAGTTCTTTTCCCTTTGGGGCACTGTATCAAATGCACAATGAACGTGCCGACCTACTGAATTCTACATTCAACAGGTTTTAAGTGGGCCAGATATTTAAAGAGATTTCTTTCCCCAATTCATCTGCTTTGTTGAAACCGTCATCTACCTGAATAAAGAGATACTTCCAATTAACAGGCATGTGGAAGGAATTACCAACAAATTAAAACTGTTAATATTTTCACGGCACCCTGGACTCCTCTTTGTAAGGTAGCTTTTCTCTATAAGGTGGCAGGAGGAATTATCTTCATTGCCTTCTTTAAGTTCTCTTCCTTGAGTTTTTCAAAGCCTTATCAAAACTTCAAGGGTTCACAGAAGGTGTGCATGCATGAGCACAACATCAAATGAATTAGGTAGCTATTTTTGAAGAAATGTAAGCCACTGCATTGGGACACCCATTCACCTCTGCAAAACAAGCTATTTAACGGAGATACTGAGTGGCAAACAGACCATCTACAGGCCCTATCTGGCCCATAAATGTGTTTTAGTTGGCTAGCACATACATTTTTTAAATCCAGTGTTTCTTGAAACACTGGAAGCTTTGGCAAGACTGGGCCCCTATCCCCAAATAGTAACAATTGCTAGACCTCTCCAGCTAGCTTTCCCCATTCCCCACCATTGCCCCAGTCTTCCTTCCCCAGCACACTGCATTCACTTACATGGCCTGCCTGGACTTGGTGGACATTTGAATCCATTTGGTAATGTCTGTTCTAAAGAATTAATCTTGGAACAAAGTCCCCCACTTAGGCTCTGGACAAATATTGTTTCTCACCTCAGTAGGCTTCTCACGATACACACAGTGCCCCTCCATCTCCCTCACTCTTTCTCCACTCCATCGTCTCTACCCCACCGTGGGCCTCATTTCCCACCTCTACATACCCCCCCTTCACCCTCCCACACAAATAACAGACATCTGCAGTCACCAGCCAAGCACCTAACTTCACACAGTGTCTCTCACCGGGTCCAGCATGAAGCAGTTGACGCCATTCGCCATGGCCAGGACCAACATGGTGGCACTGCCATAGAGGGCGTAGCCGGCAGCCACCAGTTTCCTGCCTGGCTGCAAAGCGTCCTTCTCAGAAGGCTCATCAGCTGAACTCTGGGATAAGAAAGAAAACACAACATGTTTTTGTTTTATGTTTCCTTTTTCCAGTTCAATCATTAGCAAGATGCATTATCAAGGTACTCTCCTAATACAACAGGGCATCTTCCTAGAAGGGCCTTCCTCCACACATCAGTAATATCCTGATTACATTACCACAGCAGCCTTCCCCCATACTGCAGATTTCCTGCATCTGGATCCTTCTTTCCAGTCAGGGGCCTCCTCCAATTTTACTAATTTGATATTCCCTCATTTCTCCATTATCACTTTCGAAAAAGAGCATGCCTCCTTGCCAGCTCCCACTAATTTAATCTTATTACAGGCATCAATGTCTTTCACCTGCCTACTCCATCTTTATTTAAACATATTAAGCCTGGGCTGCAGGACTGTTAGTCTGGCGAGGAAATCAATTTTGTGGGCTTTGGCCAGTTGCTGCGCGTGCCTTAGTGGGCAGTGTGGCCTATTGCCTCACACACCCAAGCAATTCTCAGAAATACGGGAATTTAGAAGATCTCTCCAGAGTCATTCCAGGATAGGGCAGTTGCTTTCCATTTTGTTGACCACATCCCACAGTAAAAAAATACACTCACACCACAAACCAGTACCAACACACCTGCACATGCACACACAACTACACAAATTTAATAAAGCAGTACTCACACTTAGAACATTACATGCACCCTAATCTTTTCATTTTTCATTAAAAACATAGCCCACCGGGTCATGTGACCATAGTTTGATACTAAGGAAGGGGACGCCTTAAGGGGATCTTCTTTATTAACACCTGATTGGCTTCTTCAGTCCTCAAAACAGCCCCAAACAAATCTTTCAGCTCAAATACTCTCTACTTGGATTCAAACAGAATAAAAAATGAGCAATTTCTGCCAATTTCATTTATTCCTTCCCCAATCAGAGATTCCAGTAGCTGAAAATAAGTACACACATCTGTATCACAACGCCGGAGATGGAAGTCATCCCAGCAAAAACATCCCTGGTAATTTTTCCTTGTAACTTTTGACACTGTGGCCCAGAGGCCATCTGCATCAGAATCACTCAGTACGCCTATTAAAAATGTGTATTCTGGGGGTGCAGCCTAAGCTTACTAAGCCAGACTTTCTAAGGGGGAATCTGCATTTTACTGTGCACCATACATGACTCTTGCACTGTAGTTTATAAAAAAGGAAGAGTCCAAAAGCCATTTTTTCTCCTTTTTCCCCTCATTCCCACTCCTGTGTCTAATAAATGGTTTTCACTAAGGCGGTTTGTTGGTTTTTTGGCTGGATTGGGTCATGTTATTTGATTTAGTTTGGTTTGTGTTCATAGAGCAGTGCATTGCATCTAAACACAGACCAATCACACTATCAAGATTTTGAGTTGTTTTCCCAAACTCCAAATTTTGCCAGTGTCCAACCTGAAAAAAAGAACCAGCTTTCTTCAAAGCCAGTGACATAGGGGAGGACTCAGTCCTCCAATTTTCCTCTATCACAACTACTTAACCCTGCCAATGCAGTGAGAAATCAGGTAACAGCAATATGTAAACGAATGAGTTGACTGGGAGCCACTAAAGTCTTGAAATAATCAGTTCTCCAGTAAGAAAAGTCCCTCAAAGATCCATCTCACCCGGAACCATCTGTGCCTGCCTGTGCCAACAGTGCAAGAGTAAACAGCATTTCCTGAAATGTCGCCACCTGAAAAACTTACCCTCTGACTTCCATAGAATAAGAAATGATCACGTTGTCTATGATCCACACACTCAGAGAAAATAATGCCATGGAATCATGGATTAAGAGGAATTCTTTCCTAGCCTGATCTTTCTAATGCATGGGTTCCCTCCTTCAAACCCCAGCAGTGAAGGCCTTTGTTCCCAGGGATCCATCACATTCCCATGCAGATGCTCATGGACCCACCGATGAGCCCTAGGCAAAATTAGAGAAAGTCTCTAGACCCTACCTTTCACTACCTATCCCAGGCCCCACCTGCTGCAGGTATGGGTTTGTTTTACTCCACACCACTTCATGAGGAAGACATCATGGAGTCTGGAGACTTAAGGCAGTGGAAGAGAATATCAGGCAAGAGTGGAGCTATGCTATCTTGTCACTTATCTGGTCTTCCCTCAGAGGGGCAGCCAAACCCTCCTTGGAAGGGCTCACAGGCATTTGAGAGTCCCCCATAACTCAGCCAATATTGTTCATTTACTATTACACTAGACAACCTAGCCTACAAAAAATAAATAAAACAAAGCCCTGCCCTCAAGGGGTTTATAATCACTAGTGAACATGGGTAAGTTTTGCCTGGTCAGCAACCACAATCCTTCTGATAACTGCACTCACTGTTAATCTCCTTAACATACTCCCGGGCCCTCAGCTCTCAGGGGGGGCACATGACCCTGGCCTGGCCAACAAAATCATCGCATGCCTCAAGCCATAGTGATTGGTTGAGGGATGGCCAGGTGATCAAAGCCAAGCCAATCAGACCCAATGAGATGACATTCTTATTGCAATTGTTGGAAAAGAGGCTTCCATCTTCTGCTCGACTTAACTGAGAGGGATGGGTGTGAGCCTGGATTTGCTAGGCGCTGTTTTGCCACCAGAGAGGAGGAGCGCAGTAGAGATGGAGAGGACGCGTCTCCTGGTTGCATGGTCTGAGTCCTTGAATGCAGCTGTACCTGAAGCAAATCTATCCATTGGGCTTTCTACTTATGAGAACCAATAATTTTCTTCTACTTTCATTCCTTCCCTCACTCCCTCCCTTTTTTCATTCCGTTCTTTAGTTTGAGTTCTGATACTTTCCATTGAATGTTCACATACAAACCAAGTAATATTAATAGCTAACATTTATCAAACACTTTTTTTGTGCCAGATACTATTTTTGGGGCATTATTTTTAAGTTTCAGTACCTCCCCTTTACAGATAAGGAAACAAGAGGTACAGAGAGTTAGTTACTTTGCCCAAGGTCCTATAGAACTGGTAAGTGTCAGTGTTAGGAAGCTGCATTCCATATGGCTATTAATTAATAAGTCTCCCTGTGCTCAGTTAAAGGACTTGAATTGGATTCTGAAACTGCCCGAGCACTTGTGAAACTACATTTAGTTGTGGGGACTGGATATTTCCAAAACCATCTCATATGAAACAGGTTTAGCTTAAAAACATTTTTTTTTTTAAGGAAAGGAGGACAGGGCAGGGCAGGAAAGCCATTTCCAAACATGTAAAACAAAAACAACCTTATTTTCTGATGCTTTAAAAGGCCAAATGAGGGGCACCTGGGTGGCTCAGTTGGTTAAATGTCCGACTTCAGCTCAGGTCATGATCTTACAGTTGGTGAGTTCGAGCCCCCCATCAGGCTCTGGGCTGACAGCTCACATTGACAGCAGTAAATGTGTCACTTGAAGCATCAGACACATGGATGTTTACCCCCCACCCCAAGCCCTCAAATGGTTTCAAAGAATCAATAAGATGTTTGAAAATTGAAATGACATAAAGGCAGGTGTCACACTCTTCTTTTCTTTTTTCTCTCTCTCTTTTTTTTTTTTTTTTT